TTGTTTACAGAAATATGCTGCCGGAATTTCAACAGAATATACATGGCAATTTTTTATTAAACAATGGCCGAAAAAAAAAGTGAGTATGAATTTTCAATTTCGCATTAAATTTGATAGTATCTGGTGAAATTCTGGCAACTCTGCTTTTGTACAACACATGATATGTCCCTCACCAATAGGAATTTTCAATTTTGCATTAAGTTTGACAGCTCATTATTTCTATATGATACAAAATTGTCGATTTTTAGTTAACTAAATTTATACCCTTTCATACATTGGGCTCTGATCCCCGAGCCCTATATGGACCCAAAAACAATAATAAAAATATGTTTTTGAGTGACCCTGGACGTCAAGTTTTCGTGTTGCATTGATTATCCTGTTAGAACACCTGTACTTGACCAGCTTGAACATTTCGTTGATCTAAATCACGAATCTTGCAGAACCCCGGGAATGTAGATTGGTGTACATTGTGCTCGTAGGTTAACTTTATGTGACCTATTTGTACATTTGGTTGTTTTATTTTTTAAAATGTCTTCACATTTCGAAGTTGGAATTTTCAATGGAAAAAGGAATTTTTCAATTTGGCAACAAAAGTGAAAAGGATTTTGTTTAAAAAAAAGTTTCAAAAGTCATAGATGGCAAATTTTCTGCAAATTTGAAAGAAGCACTAAAAAATGAATATAATAAACTTGCTTACACTTTCAATTATTTTACAACTATCTGACACTATTTTAAGAAAGGTTGGAAAAGTTGATTCTACAAAAGAACTTTAGCAAAATTTGGAGGACTTATATTTACTTAAGCCCACTCCTAGTAAATTGCATTTACTTGAAAGGATTTTTAGTTTTAAAATAGATCATTCAAAGGATCCCGATGACAATCTGGATATTTTTAGCAAATTGGTTCAAAATATTATTAACTGTGATGAAAATGTATCTGAAATGTATAAGGCCATTATTTGCTTAATTCAATGCCTGATTCATATAGAGAGAGGTTAAGAATGTAATTAAGTTTGGTAAGGACACCGTAACACTAGAGATTGTCATAGACTTACTTAGGAATAAGGAAATAGAGATTATGGCTGAAAAAGAAGATAAGAGGAGTGGTGAGTTACATATGATGAGGAGTAGGATGAAATTTAAGCAAATGAACTTGGGTAGAGCTCAAAATAGTAGTGATTTGAGTAGTGACTTGAGTGATGGGAGTAATAAAAAGAAGGGCAAGGGACGGGACAAGTCTAGTGATAGACTGTGTTACAACTGTGGTAAGTTCGGGCATTTTATTAAGGGCTATTCCAAGAAGAAGGATAAGATGAGAGATGGGACGAATTTGGCTATAAGGTCGAATGATGACCCTAGTGAGGTTTATTGAGAGTAAACCTAGTTAATGCATGTGAATATGTGTGTAATCCTTTATGCATGTGTGCGATCGCCTAATTTTGTTGTATGATTATATGTTACATTTCAATGTGCTTGATATGTGTGTTTGCATGAATTTGAGGCAATATGATTACTTGGTATAATTGTTTGCATGCATAATGCATTAGGATACATTAGCGGTGTATTTTATGTCTTTTGGTGAGGTGAAGTATAGATGCCTAGGGGTACATTGTGGTTTGAACCGGGGATGTGGAGTGTGACATTTGGATCACGAGTGGTGAGGTGATTAAATGTCTTGAATCCTTTATTTGTGAAGAGATCCTGATCAGGTGGAGTGTGATAGAGGCACCTATAGCACTTTTGTTAGGTGGAGACCGACTATGTACATAGATTGGGAGAAGTGATGTAGTAATAGAGGATTATCCCGTGGACATAGGATCTATTGTGACTTACCAATTAAACATGAGTTGGTTGATCAGTCTAGTGAGTATGGTGGACGTGAGAGGAGATGTATGTTCTCGAGATGTGAGCAACCTAGAATGTGATAGGATAAGTGTGATTAGATCTTTTCTTGGGGTCATTATGCATCTGTTGCATATGTTTTGGCCATCTATTGATTAACTTGGTGTTAGTCTGTGGTTCAGTGTGAACGTGTTTCTAAAAAGATCTCTATGTGACCCTATATTATATCATCATCACACGATTAATTGTTCTTGATTGATTACTGTGAATATTTGCTTCCACTTGGGTATTCTTGACATTAGCCTTGGTGAGTACATGGAGTAAGTATGGTATGTGTTTCAGGTTGGAAATAGGAGGCAAGGTTTGTGATCTAGTTTTATTGATTATCTTGATTACTGTCTCTTTAATTGTTTGCAGATTTATAGGGCATCAAGGTGGAGATTTGTTGGGTTTTGATACCCAATAAATCCTAGACTATGATGTTAACGTGAAATAATATATTTCATAGGCCTAGATTGATGAATAAAATAATTACCAACAACAAAGTTCATAGGCTCTACCTGATCCAACTGAATTCCCTCTTGGATGGCTTGAATCTTGGTTCGTTTAGCTTTGTCATTGGTCCAATTAAAAGCCTAACCTAACCTTATTTATATAACTATAACCCTATCCATTTTCTAGTGTGATTTGTGAGAAAATTAAGAGGAAAAACATGTCCTCTTTGAAGAGAAGAAATCGGCTTTTTTATGGTACTAAAACGGGTTGATAACTTTGTGGTCTCTTCCTTGCATACCTTTATGTGGTTTTCTTCTTGACTTTGTAGTTACAAATTGTCACTGTTATCTTGTCCTTTGTGGGTGAGATTGTGAAGTAACTGAGGTGAATATATTGATTGTGGATCGGAACTGGTTAGATTTGTTATTTGGTAGAGAAAGGTAACGTTGGACTCAGCCCGAAAAGTTTTGATGACTCTTGGAACAAGCTTTTGCAACACTCACAATACCTGTAATAGTTCAGTAGCTGAGGGTGAATGAAGTATTGGTGCCTCAAGCACTACAACAGAAGATAGAATTGAATAGTACATTTTGTTGAAGACATAATTTGAATAAATAAGTTGGTCTCATCTAATTTAAAATGTTAGATGAGAGAGTTATTTAATCATAGTAGGCACACGTCTCGACCAAGGTGAAAAAATGATTTCTAGTCTACATATGAAGGATCATGTTAGAAGATATTCTAAATCTATAGTGAAAAGAGCCAAATGAAAGATTGCATGAAGAAATTTCATACTTTGAAATAGGTAATAATAATTTGTGGACGAAGTGGGCATAATTTCGATGTGCGGTTAAGCCTTTTAGATTACTTGGATAGTATAATGGCAATATTCATTTTCAAGACCCGAGTTTTACCCTTTTTTTCCTTGCTATATACCATTGGGTTTTACATGAAATTTTTGGACTTTTCTTCAAGGACCATAGTATTAGTTGTGTTAATTGAGTTTTCCTAGGTGGATTAGTGTCCTTTACTCCGCCGTGACACTTTACAATGATGCATTGGATTATATGTTGCGTATTTTTATCAAACTATGGACCTGTTTGTCAGGATGTTTCATCGATTTTGACTGTTTTTGAGTGATACGGTTTATGAAATGTCGGTAAAACCAATGCTTAATTTTTCAGCCGCTGGTCATCAATGTTTAAAATCAACAAATATCAATGTAGCATAATTTGGATTGCATTTCACAACCCAGTGGTTTTGTAAGTTTTTCAATTTTATCTATTTTTCCAAATATTACCCTCTAAAATAATCATTTCCAACTCACATACTTTATTCAAAGCAGATGCATGATATCTCTTAAAAAGTATTTTAGGTAAAGAATCACTTGCAAGGCAAAAATTCAACTATACGTAAAAATTGGTTACAACTTATAAATAAAAATGAATTAGCTAAAAATTTACTTATAAGTGAAGAATTACTTATAAAATAAGAATTCACTTTTATTTTATGTATAAAATGCTTATGAAGTGAAAATTATTACTAATAAGTCAAAAAATTCAATTATAAAATATAAAAATGTTACTTATAAATAAAAACTACTTATGTATAAAAAAATTAACTCATAATTATAAAATTTACTTATCAATAAAAAAAATTGCATATAACTTAAAATTTTATTTATGAGTAAATATTTCATTTGCAAGTCAAAAATTAATTTTAATGTAAAAAAGACATATACATTGGCTCCATATTAAGTCCACACACCTACCATTTTTTATATATGTACATATATATTATTTTATTATAAACTTTCATGTACTTTTTAAAACTCGCTATTAAAAATATGCAAAACATAAAAAATTGAAGTTAATACTTTAATCGATACCCTAAAACTCCCAAGCAGGTCGATCCTATGTGATGGAGATAACATGTTTAATTCAATTTTAATTTGTCGATATTTAATTCATTTAATAGTCTTTATTGTTTATTGTCTAGGATTTCAAGTTTTATTAAAATAGATGTGTTTTCAAAAGTTTGAATTTTTTAAAAGGACTACATCCCAAAACAACTGTTGTTGAACCTAAACATAATGGATGAGAGGTAATGAAACCTCGCTGTGTACATAGAGCAAGGAAAATCAAATAGAGCAACGACAGGATCGAATAAAGCTGCCAAATCTAATCTATTGAATATAACAAAAACTTTGTTAGAAACAATTGTGTTTATCATTAAAAGTACCCAAAACAATTGAGCAACTTTCTTTTTGAGAATGCCTGATTTAAAGTAGGACAAATTTTGGAGTTTACGTGTAAAATATTTTATTATAAGAATGTGTGGTTGAAAATAAATGAGGAAAAATAGTTTTCGAGGTAGCTGGCCCAATGTCCTTGAAACAAAAATGAGATTTAAGTGATCAAATTATTAAAATATATATATATATATATACACACACACACACACTCACATACACTACTTCACTTATTAAGAGTGTCATTGAAAAAGTAGTGATTTATTTTTTATCCAGAAGGTGTATTATTTGTCTGATAGCACAGGACTTGACTTGTTGAGAGAGTGAAAGAGCTGTGCAGTTTCTAAGTGGCCATTCCATCAACTATGATAAATCAAGCATACAGAAATGGGAAATTTCAATTCTTGAATATAATGGATATCAAATGTAAAATTCCAATTACAAAAGATGAAGATGAAGATGAAGATGAAGATGAAGATCATCATCAGTATTTCGATGGTCGCCGAATACATAGAGTGCCCAAACTTGTGCGATTCAATAAACACAACGAAGAGGATTACTACGCCCCTAAGCTGGTTTCCTTTGGCCCTTATTACCATGGATTACCAGAACTTGGTACGGCAGAAGAATTCAAGCATAAAGTCCTTACAATGTTTGTTTCAAGCAGCGGCAAAGACAAACAAATCTTCTACTGCCAGATCTTTAAATTGATCGACCAGATTAGAAATAGTTACGTTGGAGTTTCCAGAGATGCATATGATGATGGAGCGCTAGCAGAAATGATGCTTCTAGATGCATGTTTCGCTGTATATCTTATGAAGATTGCCGTGGGAGATGAAGAAAAAATTATCCACTTCTGTCAACATCTTGGATTGTGTGTAATAAAATTTGCATTTATTGATATGTATTTACTGGAGAACCAAATTCCTCTCTGGGTTATTAAACACTTGATTAATTTAATATATGGAGAAGGATCCATGTTACTTTGTAATTTCTTTAGTTCCATGACTTTGGAGAATACCAGGCTAACAAGAATTCCTGGCGAAGATAAAAAGCAACCACTTCACATTCTAGATGCTTATCATCGATTACTTGTCGAAGAATGGGATAAAGCAGGAAAAATACTTGTCCAGCCTGTTAAGAAATGTCAATGGCGGCCATTGAAGAAAGAAAATCAAAAGGAATTAGGGAAATTCAGTCGTCAATCTCGTTCAGTCACCGATCTCAAAGCAAAAGGCATTCACTTCAAACCTAGTTCATGTTGTTTGATGAATATTAGTTTCAAATCATACACATTTTATGGGCAAGTTCAACTCCCGGTTTGGCTTTTCACTGGCATTTCCAAGCTATTATTTATAAACATGATTGCTTATGAAGCATCTCCAGAAAGCGACACTGGCATTCCTATAATATGTTATGTTAATTTCTTGAAATCGCTCATTGTTAAACCTGAAGATGTGAAGGAACTACGAGAAAAGAAGATACTTTTTAGCACCCTTGTCAGTGATGAACAAGTTGTTGAAATAATCAAAGAGATTGATACTTGCGGACTTGACGATTACTATATTTTTGACAATGTGACGATGAGAATTGAGGAGCACTGCAGCAACAAGGCAAAAACATGGATTGCTGAATTAATTCACACTAATTTTCGCAATCCATGGACTTTTATTACCTTACTCGCTGCCATTTTTCTTCTTTGCTTAACTTTTCTCCAGACCTATGACACATTGAATCCTAAGTAAAGGTGTGTGGCAAATGCTGTTCTTCATGTTTTAGTTGAGATGTGTTTCAACTCTTCCAAACAAGATAGGTTTGATGCTTTTGTATTTATTGTATTAATCTATGTTTGTATTATTGGAATTCAAATCTATAAAAGTAGTATTTTAATAAATGTCTATCAGATGACTGATTGAAAACAATGGTTGTAAGTTCTTGAATTCATATTTTGAATACTAAGAATCTGTGACAAAAATTATGCCCTTAACATGTTAGCTTAATTGCCTTGTCCAGAAGTTTTCATTTAAAAGAAAGAAAAGAGATGGGCAAATTATTGTTTCTGATCAATTAACTATACACGATACTTAATATTGGTTTTTCAAGATGAGTTGATAGAAACGTCAACATCTTATGAAAGGAATAACCAATAGTGCAAGGACTGAGGGAAATAAGACTGGGAAAGAATTTTGTTTATGGGCATCTACCACAATTCTAATCCATTAAATCTGCCAGCTTTCTCGAACTCATGAACGCTGGCTATAGTTGTCCCTCCAAGAGATGAAATGTCATCATTCAGCTGACCAAAAGTTTTCCTGTATTAACTTCCATTAATGCTGCTCCCTATTGGGTTGTGATACCCAATAAATCCCGCTATGATTTTAAAGTGGAATAATATATTTCATAGGTCTAGGCTGATGAATGAAATAAGTACCAACAATCAAGTCCATAGGCTCTACTCCATCCAATTGTATTTCTTCTTAGATGGCTTGAATCTTAGCCCGTTTAGCTTTGCCATTGGTCCTTAAAGCAACCCTAACCATTTTCTAGTGTGACTTGTGAGAAAATTAAGAGGAAAAACATTGCCCCTTTGAAGAGAAGAAACTAGCTCCTTTGTGATACTAAAATCGGTTGATTACTTTGTGTACTTTGTGGTCACTTCCTTGCCTACCGCTATGGCGCTTTCTTCTTGCCTTTGTGGTTACAAATCATCACCATTGTCTTCTTTGTGGGTGAGATTGTGAAGCAACCAAGGTGAATATATTGGTTATGGATCGGAGCAGGTTGGATTGATTATCTGATAGAGAAAGTTAACGTTGAACTAAGCCTAAAAAACACCGTTTTGATGACCCATGGAGCAAGCTTCCACAACAATTGATATCAAAGCTTCAAGGTGGTGGATTGTCTTATGAAACTTACAAAAAAGCCTTCTAGGAAACTTACAAAAACGAAGCAGAAATCAAATAAAAAAACTACCCAGAAAATTGCCCAAAATCAGCCTCTGTTTTGACCAATCCAGAAAGAGTTAGGTGAAACGAAGACTACTTATGTGACGTGTAGGTGAAGATTGTTCTGACGATCCGGTGTGTCAGGTTTTTCGGTGGTGTGTGCAGCTTTGCGTGAAGCCCATTCGTAGAAAGTCTTGCTAGCACGTGAGGGCATATGTATCATTTTCAGGCAACAATGTCTTTAGACAATTTGTTCCTAACATTATTTCTAAAATTTTGGTATTCTTAGTTTTTTGTTTTAGGTTGTACATGGAATTTGAACAAAATTTTTCTTTGTACGTTCGGGATTCAATCGTGGTTGGTTGGTTGCTGCAGTTGCCAGAGGCTTTAGGACGAATAGTGGTGGTGCTAAAGTGATAAATTAGTATCTCTCATAATTTACGAACTCAGATTGATCTGCTCCAGTATATTGGCTTATCTCAGTTTAAATTTCAGCATGAGCACACCATCATGTGGGGGTGACAATAGGATTAGGATTACCATGAAGGGTATCTGTTGTTTGTACTAGAAATTTAACAGTTATTTTCCATATTTGAAGTGTTGAATTTGATTGCAAGTTGGTAATTGGGTTTGTGCTCTAATTGTCATATATTCATTGTGTGAGACAACATTTCGTGAGAATTTGAATTTTTTGTTTACATACTTTCGTGTTGCATTGATTATCCTGTTAGAACACCTGTACTTGACCAGCTTGAACATTTCGTTGATCTAAATCACGAATCTTACAGAACCCTGGGAATATAAATTGGTGTACATTGCGCTCGTAGGATAACTTTATGTGACCTATTTGTACATTTGGTTGTTTTATTTTTTAAAATGTCTTCACATTTCGAAGTTGGAATTTTCAATGGAAAAAGGAATTTTTCAATTTGGTAACAAAAGTGAAAAGGATTTTGGCTCAAAAAAAAGTTTCAAAAGTCATAGATAGCAAATTTTCTGCAAATTTGAAAGAAGCACTAAAAAATGAATATAATAAACTTGCTTACACTTTCAATTATTTTACACCTATCTGACACTATTTTAAGAAAGGTTGGAAAAGTTGATTCTACAAAAGAACTTTAGCAAATTTTGAAGGACTTATATTTACTTAAGCCCGCTCCTAGTAAATTGCATTTACTTGAAAGATTTTTAGTTTTAAAATAGATCATTCAAAGGATCCTGATGACAATCTGGATATTTTTAGCAAATTGGTTCAAATTATTATTAACTGTGATGAAAATGTATCTGAAATGTATAAGGCCATTATTTGATTAATTCAATGCCTGATTCATATAGAGAGGTTAAGAATGTAATTAAGTTTGGTAAGGACACCTTAACACTAGAGATTGTCATAGACTTACTTAGGAATAAGGAAATAGAGATTAAGGCTGAAAAAGAAGATAAGAGGAGTGGTGAGTTACATATGATGAGGAGTATGATGAAATTTAAGCAAATGAATTTGGGTAGAGCTCAAAATAGTAGTGATTTGAGTAGTGACTTGAGTGATGGGGGTAATAAAAAGAAGGGCAAGGGACGGGACAAGTCTAGTGGTAGACTGTGTTACAACTGTGGTAAGTTCGGGCATTTTATTAAGGGCTATTCCAAGAAGATGGATAAGATGAGAGATGGGACGAATTTGGCTATAAGGTCGAATGATGACCCTAGTGAGGTTTATTGAGAGTAAACTTAGTTAATGCATGTGAATATGTGTGTAATCCTTTATGCATGTGTGCGATCGCCTAATTTTGTTGTATGATTATATGTTACATTTCAATGTGCTTGATATGTGTGTTTGCATGAATTTGAGGAAATATGATTACTTGGTATAATTGTTTGCATGCATAATGCATTAGGATACATTAGCGGTGTATTTTATGTCTTTTGGTGAGGTGAAGTATAGATGCCTAGGGGTACATTGTGGTTTGAACCGGGGATGTGGAGTGTGACATTTGGATCACGAGTGGTGAGGTGATTAAATGTCTTGAATCCTTTATTTGTGAAGAGATCCTGATCAGGTGGAGTGTGATAGAGGCACTTATAGCACTTTTGTTAGGTGGAGACCGACTATTTACATAGATTGGGAGAAGTGATGTAGTAATAGAGGATTATCCCGTAGACATAGGATCTATTGTGACTTACCAATTAAACATGAGTTGGTTGATCAGTCTAGTGAGTATGGTGGACGTGAGAGGAGATGTATGTTCTCGAGATGTGAGCAACCCAGAATGTGATAGGATAAGTGTGATGAAATCTTTTCTTGGGGTCATTATGCATCTGTTGCATATGTTTTGGCCATCTATTGATTAACTTGGTGTTAGTCTGTGGTTCAGTGTGAACGTGTTTCTAAAAAGATCTCTGTGTGACCCTATATTATATCATTATCACACGATTAATTGTTCTTGATTGATTATTGTGAATATTTGCTTCCACTTGGGTATTCTTGACATTAGCCTTGGTGAGTACATGGAGTAAGTATGGTATGTGTTTCAGGTTGGAAACAGGAGGCAAGGTTTGTGATCTAGTTTTATTGATTATCTTGATTACTGTCTCTTCAATTGTTTGCAGATTTATAGGGCATCAAGGTGGAGATTTGTTGGGTTTTGATACCCAATAAATCCTAGACTATGATGTTAACGTGAAATAATATATTTCATAGGCCTAGATCGATGAATAAAATAATTACCAACAACAAAGTTCATAGGCTCTACCTGATCCAACTGAATTCTCTCTTGGATGGCTTGAATCTTGGTTCGTTTAGCTTTGTCATTGGTCCAATTAAAAGCCTAACCTAACCTTATTTATATAAGTATAACCCCATCCATTTTCTAGTGTGATTTGTGAGAAAATTAAGAGGAAAAACATGGCCTCTTTGAAGAGAAGAAATCGGCTTTTTTATGGTACTAAAACGGGTTGATAACTTTTTGGTCTCTTCCTTGCATACTTTGTGTGGTTTTCTTCTTGACTTTGTAGTTACAAATTGTCACTGTTATCTTGTCCTTTGTGGGTGAGATTGTGAAGTAACGGAGGTGAATATATTGATTGTGGATCGGAACTGGTTAGATTTGTTATTTGGTAGAGAAAGGTAACGTTGGACTGAGCCCGAAAAACACCGTTTTGATGACTCTTGGAACAAGCTTTTGCAACACTCACAATACCCGTAATAGTTCAGTAGCTGAGGGTGAATGAAGTATTGGTGCCTCAAGCACTACAACAGAAGATAGAATTGAATAGTACATTTTCTTGAAGACATAATTTGAAGAAATAAGTTGGTCTCATCTAATTTAAAATGTTAGATGAGATAGTTATTTAATCATAGTAGGCACACGTCTTGACCAAGATGAAAAAATGATTTCTAGTCGACATATGAAGGATCATGTTAGAAGATATTCTAAATCTATAGTGAAAAGAGCCAAATGAAAGATTGCATGAAGAAATTTCATACTTTGAAATAGGTAATAATAATTTGTGGACGAAGTGGGCATAATTTCGATGTGCGGTTAAGCCTTTTAGATTACTTGGATAGTATAATGGCAATATTCATTTTCAAGACCCGAGTTTTACCCTTTTTTTCCTTGCTATATACCATTGGGTTTTACATGAAATTTTTGGACTTTTCTTCAAGGACCATAGTATTAGTTGTCTAAATTGAGTTTTCCTAGGTGGATTAGTGTCCTTTACTCCGCCGTGACACTTTACAATGATGCATTGGATTATATGTTGTGTATTTTTATCAAACTATGGACCATTTCTGAAGCAGACTA